TTTGCTGAGTTATTTGGAGGGTGTACAATGTGAACTGATTTTGTAAAAAGGGAAGTACTCCCCGGACTCACCTCCTCCATCCTGGCGTCGCGGTTGGCGGCGCGGGCCTGCCGGATCACCTCGCGGGGCACGTGCATGACGACGGGGCCGTCGCCGCCGTCGTCCGCGGCCGACGCGTTCCCGGCGCCGTAGCTGGCGGCGAAGCGGATGTCGTCGCTCTGGCCGTCCAGGACGCGCACGACGAGCAGGTGCAGGTTCTCGAAGTGCTGCTCGTAGCGCGTCTCGCCGTCCTGCATCCAGACGCCGCGGCCGTGCGCCTCCATCAGGCGGAACAGCTGGCGGCGCTGCGAGCCGTCCGCGTCCGCCTGCTCCTGCACCTCGGAGCTCACCGCCACCATGTTGCTCATGGCCTTGAGCATGTTGTACGCCACCTGAGGTAAGCCGGCAGTGAGGTGAGACATTGATATCGATATCGTTTCGCCCCGGATTGCGTCCTCCGCGCCCTTCCCCGGCCGGCGGCGGCAGGCCGAGCGCCCGCGAGGTAGGCAGGCGCGGCGGGCTTGCCCACCGGCCGGGCGGGCCGCCCCGCTCGCGGCAGCAGCTCGCGCTCGCGGCCCTCACCGTCCTGTTGGTGCGCGCGACCGTGTGCGCCTTGCTGATCAGGTCGGCCGCCTCGAGGTACTTCTCGGACGTCATGTTGCTCGGGTCGGCCGTCATCCTCTCCGCGTCCTCCGCCCCCTTGGCCGCGTCGTCCGTGGCGTGAGGGTCCTGGAGACGACGAGAGTTGTTGATTAACGTCCACTAAGGATTCTAAGGTCCAACATTTTTCCGGAACAGTCGGAAACTTTTCCAGAAAAATTGAAACAAATTGAAATATTTTCAGAAAACTTAGGAAAAAAAGTGAAACTTTTACGGAAAAAAATACAAAATTCAAAGATTTTGAATTAAATTCTTCGAAAATTTCCCCAAAATACTTTTCTAGAACGTGCCCCTCACCTTCGCACACTCTTCGTAGTTGCTCTTCCCCCACTGCGGGCCCTGATGCCGCTGGAAACACATCCGTTTCACGTGGGCGTACCCGTGCGTGGGTGCGGCTGTAGAGACATCGGAAGAATAGGTCCAGATTGTGTAAAAATCGGTTAAAAAATGTGACTATTTGTGGCTAGAAAGGCTATCGGCCAAAAATTTTGGTGTCGTATTGACATTTCGGCTTACAGGGGTCCTTGTTGGCTCCGTACGGGCAGAGCAGGTGGACTTCGTCGTTCACTAAGGTCGCGGGCCACCGGACATCGCCGTAGTCACCAAATTCAATTTCAGAGCAGCACATGTCTGTCATATCGGAAAGGAGTATTTGTATTGGTCATATCAGCCGGGTGAGTCGAGCCAAATACAACAACACGATGATTGTGGGTCTCATTGTTATTTCCTGCGGCACTCACTGAACACGTCGGGTATGTGCCCGAGTGGCAGCGCTGCGGGCCCGGCGGGACGCGCTGCCAGCCTCCCGTCGTTGCAGGTCTCCCCTAGAGTCCTCTCCCCCAGCGCACCGGCCAGTCCTGCGCCTGCGGGGCCTGCGGTGTGCCCGCGCTCAGGGAGGATGGAAGCTGTACAGACACGCGGGCGCCGATGGGGCGCAGATAGTAAATGAGTGACACGAATAAGATGCATCAGCGCAACTAAAATCACGAGGATCTGGATAATCAACAACATTTTATTGATATCCGTCACGTAAGGATTACACTGCGTGAAGAGATTGTGCCGGCCTGCACGGCACATACCTCGGCGATAGCGGACACCCTGATATTCCCCGTCCAGGCCCTCGCACTGTACGCACCTGTACAGAGGTCCGCGAGGACGGCGAGCAGCAGCCAGCAGGAGCAGCGGGCCCAGGGGGCCAGCGGCCCGGGCCCAGGTCGCCGACGAACCCGCGCAGCGGCGGCGGCCATCCTGGGGCGATCGCGACCCGAATGTCGGCGTCGTCGAGCGGGCGGCGGCCGGCCCGGGTGCGCGCCCCCGATCGCTGGATTAAGATTAGCCGCCGAATAAGAACGGGGAGGTGCTGCGTGCCGCGGTCCAAGTTGAGTTAATCGGTCAAAATCGTAATGCGTCACTACCATCCCCTTGCCGCCGCGTTGAGGGTAACTAACTCACACAGGTTCGAGCGACTGGGACTCGATGGACGGACTTCCCGGACGACAGGGCACGACGCCGGTCCTTCCTCTTACGGCGAAGACGTCATACGTTACTCTTTTTACTCAAGAGGTCTTGTCTTGTGGGCCTCGCCGTCCGCCTCTTCTCTCTCGGGGTTGTCGCTCTCCGTCGGGCTCTCCGTCGAGGAGGCAGCCGCGGCCGGCCGACCGGGTGGTGGTTGTCGCGCCAGCGGAGTCCGACACTCGTGCACGTCCGCGACCACTGATATCAGTGATGTGACTGTTTGACTTACAGGGCTCGCTGCGCAGGAACTATCTATCTCTCTGGCTGCACAGTCAGCCCTCGACCCCTGCCCAGCCGGGTATAGGCAACCACCGAACGAGCCTGCAGTGTCTTGCCTAACTACCAGGCTCTGACACAGCTAGTACTCTCCCTTCCCCATCCAAGCACAAACTCAACTCTTTTTCAAACTCCCTCTCATCTCCAATGCATCTCGCTGTATTTCAATCCTCTTTCTTTCGTCCTCTTTGTTTTAATCCGTTTTTCTTCTCTAATCTTTCATCTATAAACCCCCCCACGAATGTAAATTGGTACACGCTGCTACTAATTGCGTCAGTCATTTGAACATAATCCCTCTCGCAGTGAGAAATTAAACACCAAAAGCGATATCGTCTCGACGTCGTTTCCACCAATTCGCAGCATTCCGTCGCCGACAGTCGCTTGACCGCCTCCTCAGACGCCGGCCCGGTGCGCTTCGTCATAAAGCACATCTCCGGCGCTATCTCGGTCCGTCTGTCAGTCCGTGAGTCTGCCCGTCCGCCGCGCCCACACCACTCACTCTCGCCCAGCCCAAACCCCAAACATCCTGCCCTTTCGGAACGAGAGCAGGAAATCGAGTGCTGTACTGCCCGGTCCGTCGTCGATTTGCTCGCAGTGCCCCC